TTCCAGCCCCCTTCTTACCCTTCCGGAGAGGGGGTTATCATTGCTATTGACTGATATGCACCCCACCCCTCACCCATACTACCAGCCCCTCCCAAGGAACAGTGCCGACCCACACGCACACACACACACACACCCACACTGACACACACACACACATATACACCCACACCCACACCCACACCCACACCCACACCCACACCCACACCCACACCCACACCCACACCCACACCCACACCCACACCCACACCCACACCCACACCCACACCCACACCCACACCCCCACACCCCACGCACGCAAGCACGCAGCACGCACGCGCAGCACGCACGCGCACGCACGCGCGCGCACGCACGCACGCACGCACGCACGCGCGCACGCACGCACGCACGCACGCACGCACGCACGCACGCACGCACACACACACACACACACACCTTCCCTGCCGAAACACAATAGATACAACATGCACGGTGTTACAACAACTGTATCATGTCCGAGTGCCCCGCGATCATTACTTTTTGTGGGCAAGGACGAGGGGGGGTGTTCGCATTTTGCTCCACTTGCGCAGGCCCGACATCCGTGTCTAAAACAAAAAACAAAGCACACGTTGGTGGCAAAATCTTCGGCCAGGCGCGAGCGCCTCGCAATCGTGTTGCATTGTTCTTCGACTGGGAGGTGGACGGTCTCCCCCAGGGCCGTAGGCGACCCGAGGAGGGGAGGGGGAGGAGGAAGAGGAGGAGGAGGAGGAGGAGGAGGAGGAGGAGGAGGAGGAGGAGGAGGAGAGTAGGAGGAGCAGGAGGAGGAGGAGGAGGAGGAGGAGGGGAGGAGGAGGAGGAGGGGGAGGAGGAGGAGGAGTAGGGGAGGAGGAGGAGGAGGAGGAGGAGGAGTGAGGAGGAGGGAGGAGGAGGAGGCGGGGGAGGAGGAGGGAGGAGGACGGGAGGAGGAGGAGGAGGTAGGAGGAGGAGGAGGAGGGAGGAGGAGGAGGAGGAGGAGGAGGAGGAGGAGGAGGAGGAGGAGGAGGAGGAGGAGGAGGAGGACGGGTCGCCTAAGCGCTTCGGAGAAACACTCCACTGGGGGGATGGGGGTGCCCTGGCACGCTCGGCGCACCTCGCGAGCGCCGCGCGCCTGGCTGGTGCCAGCACTGGTTCCGATGATTGTCGATGGCGGCCCCTGCTTATGCTGAGACTCGGGTGCTACTCGTGTGCTTAGCTACTCCAATACGCAACACGCAACACGTAGCGTGCTGACACGGAGCTCAACGCGTAGTCTGAAAGCGTAGGTATGACGCGGTGCGTTCGCCGAAGCGTGGGCCAATACGCTGAGCCAACACGCAGCGTATTGACACAGAACGGGCGTATCGAGGCAGCTAAGCTCATGTGTTGAGAGGGCAGGAGGGAGTGAGCGAGACGGCTTGCGGCTTGTGGGTAGCCTGCCCCCTACCCCTCCCACCACCCCCTGGGTCTTGGCGGGGGCGGTGGGCGCGGGTCGTTGAAGGGTCCAAGATGGCTCCAGATAGCCCAAGATGGCCGCAAAGATCGCACAATGTTGCCCAATATGGCTCAAGATAGCTTCCACCAAAGCTCCAAGATGCTCGAAGACCGCCCTGAGAGGGCTCGAAGCGGCTACGGAGCCTCCCAAGGACGCCCCCGAGAGGCCCAAATCCCTCCCAAATCCGCAGACGATGAATGTTGTTTGCCCCCTCGCCTTTTCGCTTCCGATGGGCTTATGAGGCCTCGAGATGGCTCCAAGGTGCTTCCCGGTGCGTCGCGGTGCGTCCCGGTGCGTCCCAATGCGTCCCCGTGAATTCCAACCAATACGTTCTGGTGCGTCCCGGGTCCCGCGTCCCGGCGGTGCGGCGCGGGTCCCGCGTCCCGTGCGTCCTGGCCAATGCGTTCTGGTGCGTTCCGGTGCGTCCTGGTGCGTCCCGCCGGCAGGAGAGAGGCCCAAGAAGCCTCCGAGATGGCCTCCAGAGCGTCCAAGAGCGCCCGAAGAGGCAATTGTTCGGCCTCCGCCCGGGGGACCGTAACTGAGCCCCCCCCCCCCTTCATCGATGGCCTCCAAGATTGCCCCATGAGGCTCAGGCTCCTCCTCCTCCTCCTCCTCCTCCTCCTCCTCCTCCTCCTCCTCCTCCTCCTCCTCCTGCTTCTCCTCCGCATGCTCCTCCTCCTCCTCCTCCTCCTCCTCCTCTAGTTCCTCTAGTTCCTACCAGAAGGCGGTCCGCTCCGCAAACCAGCCTCGGCCCCGAACGGGGATCAAAACACTCCACGGCAGACCCAGGACCCGCCAGGCAAGGGAACCTGGCGCGGGAGGGCCCCTTGGAGTCCAAACCAAAATTCACCAAAAGTTAAACCCTCCTTGCCGCCGCCCTCGAGACAGGGAACGGGACCGCTCCCCAGCGGCTGCCTGTCTGGGGCTCCCGCCCCGCTCTGAGGCGCTCGAGGGCACGGCGAGCCAGGCGAGCCGCGTCGCGGCCCTTACTGGCCAGCGGGACGCAGGGGTCGGCCAGGAGCTTCGCTTGGCGACTCCCGTGGGCCCCGCACGTTCGACAGAACACGAGACAGCCACCCGTCCCAAAGGACCCCCGACACGGCCCACCCCCGCCCCGAATCACCCAAAGCCTGTGGGACGGGTGGGACCTGGCGACCAACCACGGGAGTCCTGGACAGGCGCTGGCGACAACCCTGGCCCTGGTAGCCCGACGGATCCCGCAGACCGAACAGCCCCAGGCTCGACCGAGCCTGGCCAGGACGTGGCCCCTGTCGGGCCCCACCAGGGCCAGGGTCCCAGGATCCGAGCCCCTGGGCCTAGGGAGGGCCCCGCGATCGGGCCATCCGAGGTCGGCGAGCCTTTTCAGGATCCCCCCGTGGTGGCCGCACCAGGCCTCTGCTTGCACGGCGGCGGCGTCCAGGCGGCGGCTCAACTCACGCAGCCGCTCCTGCCTGGGGTGGAGCCTGGCGCCTTCCTTCGCCCTCTCGTCGGCCTCCCTGTTGCCCGCGAAGGCCTGCCATGGCACGCCTGCAGCACTGGCCCTGGCCCACGAAGTGTGCGACGGCAGCCACGTCAACCTGAGGAAGTCAGGGCCGAGGTCGTCGAGCAGCTGCCAGACCCGCCTCCACAGGTCCGCGTACTTGTGGCCTGGGCCGCAACAGCGTTCGCGGCCTGCCTCGAAGTCGTCCTTGATCCCCTTGCAGTCTGTATAGACCGTGATGGGCGATGGGCCGACCTCCTCCAGGACTCTGCGCAGCGCGTAGAGCTCCGCGTAGCCGATCTCCTGGATCCAGCCTGGCGTGAGCCCGAAGAGGCCGCCGACGGCGTTCCCGACGTCGTCTACCACCACAGCCGCCCATCCCGTGCGCGTCAGGCACGGGATCTCGGGGTACATCGCGGACCCGTCGATGCAGATGACGCCCTCGAGGAGGCCGCGTCGCGCGCAACCTGCGCGGTGGCAGAGCTCGTCCGTGCCAGGGGGCGGGGCTTGGTCCAGCCCGAGGTTGACGAGGCCCCTCACCAGGCCCAGGTCGTCCTGCGGCGCCCTCCTGCCTGCGTCGGCGACCTCTTGGAAGCCCAGGTCGCGCGCCCAGCAGGCGATGGCGGGGCACACGAACAGCCTGTGGTGCGCCGTGCCTGGTGCTTCCCCGCACCACTGGCACAGCGGGCTGAGCTCTGCCCTCTCGTCGTACAGGTCGGACTGCGTGACGAGCCCGCCTGCCATGTGTGCCTCCACCAGCGCGGCCTCCTGCGACTTGCCAGCGCGCCGCATGCCCGCCAATGCCGTCCTAAACGGCTCCAGGTTGGGCGGGCGGCCCTGGAGATGTTCGAAGCCCTCGTGGCTCGCGACCTTCAGCATGAGGTAGCGGTGGACCCCTCTCTCGACGAGGCTGGCCACCATCCGCGGGCTGAGCAGCTGCAAGTCGAGGATCTGCCCACGGTCGTCCCTCCAGCGGTGCCAGTTCAGCAGCTCCCAGCCGATGCGCTCCAGCGAGAGGCGGACCGCCCCTGCTGGCCCAGTGACCTCGCCCCAGTCGCCTGGTCTGCACTCCAGCACCTGCTTGAAGACCGCAGGGGGCCGCACGCGCAGGAAGACGGCGCGAGCCCAAGCCCTCAGCGGGAGGACGTGCGCCGCGTATGCTGGGTCGTGCTTCCAGTCCTTGCCCTCCTGCAGGGCGAAGAGCACAGTCCTGGACCTCTGGCCGATCTCGCCCGAGATGGCCCTGCCGTTGACTGCTCGGGCGCGCTGCAGGGTCTTCGTGGGTACTCCGCTGACCCTCGCGCCGTGGAGGATGGACGCCAGCCCTCCTGTCCTGAACACCTTGGAGAGCCTCTTGGCCCCCGCCTTGCGCAAGGCCCTGTATCGCCCAGCCCTCTGGCTCAGGCGATTGATCCTCTGCCGTAGCACCCTCCACGAGGCCGACCTCGCCATGGTGAAGTCCACGCCCAGGTTCTTCGTGGCTCCTCCTCCTCCTCCTCCTCCTCCTCCCCAGGGCACAAGAGAGCCCCCAAGGCATCCCAAAGGAGCACAGGACGGCCCGAGCAAGCTGTGAAGGGGCTCCCAGATCGACAAATCCATACGAAAGCCTTCCAGGGTTGACTCCTGGGGCTGCTCGGGCTGATCCCGATCCTCGGTTCGACGGCTGCCCCCATCTGTGGTCCCACTGGGTGCTCCCGCACTGGCCTGAGCAATGCAACTCCCCTGGGCATCTTTGCTGCATCCAGACATCCGGCAGCTCCAGTTTTTTGTCGACGCGGGCTCCCTGGAGGTCCAGGCCAGGCCACTTCCCTACAGGGCCAATTTTTCGTCCTGAACCGTTGTTTGACGCTCCCGAGGCCCAGCGAGGGCCCCTGGAGGCCGAAAACTGACAGAATCCCGCCGCCCCAATTTTCGTTCGGAGCGTCGGATCTCGGGGGAGAGGCTCGTGGGGATACGCGGACGGCCAAGAGAATGCGTGCTCTTGTTCCTCGACTCAGCTCCTCCTCCGCCCGCGAGCCGGAACCGGCGAGCGGC